ACTGACAGCTCCTTCAAGAAAGGCTGAGGGGAAGGGTTGAGAATGCTGTGCACATACAATCCGGCCAATGAGCCTGGTGGTAACTCTTTCCCAAATTCTTGTGTCATAAAGGGATTTACATCATCTTTCTGCAAACGGTGTCAGTAATGGCTCTGGGAGCTCAGCCACTGTGAGGTGGATACTGATGCCCAGGCACCTTCACTGGGTCCCCTGCTCCTCTACACCACAGCAGGAATGTGGTTCTCTAGCAGCGAGACACAGTCTGGAGGAAGAAGGTCTCGGAGAGGCGCTGCCAATTTTCTCTGCCCAGAGGCTGTGATTTGGGGAACAAAGGCAGGAGGGAATGTGGTAAAATTAACTTTCCTGACAACCTGCAGCCCATCGACGACTCCTTGAGACAGGCAAAGTGTGACATTCCTCCAGGAACACCAACTGTCTTCAAATGAATGCCTTAGCTTGAGGATAGCCAGACCTCCAGGATCCTGTGAGTCTCCTTTAACAAATGCAAGTCTTTTTGGAAACTTCCCGTTGTCTTTACCTTCCCTGGTTCCAAAGAGCCACTGCTCACAACCCCAGGGCAGCTCTTTCTGCCCAGGGGTCCTGTTCTTTCTCAGGAATTCTTTCTTGGCCGAGTCTCCAAACCCCAACATTTCCACATCAGCTGTGCCAAAATTCTGACTCAGAGCCTGTTGGGGAGGCCAACTGAGCATACCACCTCTGCCGTGGTCTCACACTGAGACTCACTGAGGCCCTGGATATCATCCACAAATTAAAATTGAGGCAGGAGAGCGAGGTTCTTGTCTCATGGAGTCAAAGAATGAATCTCACAGACAAAGGAAAGCAAGTAAAATGATAGAAGCTCAGTAAGCAAGGATCCAGAGAGAGCTCTCAGGAGTGAGAGGGGACCCACAGGGCTGCCCACGGGGGCCTCCAAGGACAGTCTTGTATTTAGGACTGACCAGGGAGCTTGTGGCCTTATCATCCTTGTGATGTCTTGGTTTGAGTAAGGACTGGTGATAATATGTTTAATGGTTTCCTGCTTTTTAGGGTCTGGTTATTCTTTCTTGGTCACAGGAGATTGTCATAATAGAAGACCCCCCCCCCCCCGTTTAAAAAAAAAAAACCCAACCCCCTTCCCCACCTAGGCCAGGGTGGTCTGGAGTGTTCCCTTATCTCTGATTTCCTTAACACTCTGTATTTTAGAGATTTCTGTGAGCCTGATCCCGTAGCCCCCACCTCTCTCTCCCTCCCTAGCCCTGCCTGTCCCTTACTCAACATCATCCTACACTGCCATTTCTAATCCTCATTTCTTTAGATGCAGAATAAATTGCTTTGAAGAGACGGTGCTGCTTTTCTACTTTCCCCACATCCAAGGTTTTACCTTCACATAGCCATGGCCATTTCCCCATTCTTCCTAAACTGGACCACTCTAGTCCAGCCAGGATCCCGGGCTCCCCATCATTGCCCATGCTGAGGGACCATCCCTCAGGATGTTACTCATGGGTCTAGCAGACCCAGGGAGATGCTTAGCTCTGGGGAAGGGAGAATAAAATAAAGTGAGTCCATATCCACATTCCGCACGAACTCTCCTCAGAGAGACCCTGTCATTGCTTCCTTGGGTTGTAAGTCCAAATCCCCCCAAATTACCCTCCTTGACTGTCCTTTGAGTGGGTGCCAGGTTCACCTGATGCCATCTGAGAGTGTTATGAGAACAAGAAGAAATGAGAGTCCTTGTGTGGTAAAATGGAACCTCTCAGGAGACTAGAGTTAGAAGATTGTGTTGTGTCCAAAGGGAAGCCCTTCACCAGAGCCTGCTGTGTGCTGTGCTGGAAGCGCCTTGTGGCCAAGTTCCTGGGCCCACCACCTTCACGTTATATTCAGGGAGGGACTTGAAGGGTGGGCTCTTCCACTTGTGCACACACCCAGGTCAACTCCTGCAGGAAAGAGAAGAAAATGTCTTCTGAATGAATACAGCTTTTTTTTTGGGGGGGGGGGTTGGATGGCTCTTCCTAGCTTACATAACTTGATGATACCCTTTCAGAGAAAGAAAACACCCAGATGGTCCAGAAGGCACAATTTTAGTCAAAGATGTAAAAGAGCTATACAGGGCTCTAAAAATTAATTCTTCCCAGCTAATGGGGATAGAAGGAAAGAGGAACAAATCCTCTCCCTAGTGGGTCACCATGTTCCAGACTCTCCCTTGAATTTTTCTTCTTTTCACTTATTCTTATTTCCCCCTCTTGGTTAAGAGGAAGTTTTTCTCCTTCCTTGGCTCCTCTCTCCATGCTCTTTGAACCCACTGCTTTTAACCACACACCATTACGTAAACCCTTCTTTCACCACTCTCTTACTCTTGGCTCCTTCACTGTAGTCCACACTCACACTCAATTCTCTATTTAAAAATAACCTGTAATTGACCCTTCTTCTCTCCTTAAACCATTATGTCACCCTCTTCTTTCATTCGTTACCAAATTTCTCAAGAGTGGTCTGTGCTCATGTGGCCTCCTGTGCCCTCCACCCATTGCTCTCCAGTTGATTGCTTCCTGGTATCTGTCTCAAGAAATTCATTCCAAATAGAATGAAATGGGGTTGGTACTAGCATTTACCCAAATAATGAGTGGAAAGAATTAAGGTGGTGATACCCCCAGGCACTGAAGGGAGACGTGCTGTGGAGAGAGAGCCAAGCTGAAGAGAGGACACCTTTTAGCAGGCTCAAACTAGTTCAGGAATTTGAAGCCTTAGCAGTGATGTGGTGCTGTGTGCCTTTCCCAGAGCCTAAAATCACACCTAACAAGGTAGGGGATGAATCTCCTGACTCCTGAGGGCAAAATCAAGAAGGGATTAAGTACATAAAGATTCATATGAAAGGCTACCGGACCATCCTCCTACCTATCTGTCAGCAATTTTTTATTTCCAAATGGAATGATGTGTGTATGATGCATTACTTTCTGTTTATATCTTTTACACTCTAATCAGATTCTTTGACTGCATTTCATGCTCAGTCCCAGTGAAAACTCATCACATAGCAACTCTTGCGACAGGCCTACATGGTCTGCTGCCTGCTTCTTTGGGAAGGACTTTTAGGGTATAGGTGGCTCTTAGAACTCATCAGTGGGTTGGGGGCTGGGATGGAGGAAGAGCTGTACCCAAAGGCAAGAGGTGGTACCGCAGGGGAAAAAAAATTAAAAACCTAGGACTCCTGCCACTATTAGGTAATCAGAACCAATGTTTTGAAATAAATCTATCAGCTGCAGTTGCCATAGGCAATGGGAAACCATCAGATGTTTCATAAATAACGAGTGGCATCTACGGAACTGTCATTATGTCCCTAGTGGATGTACATGTTTGTAACTGGCACTTTAGTGCATTTTTGTGACAAAAAGGTGTGTGGTCATTATTATAATCTATATTTTTATATTATAATCTATAAACCTATTTTTATATAATCTACATTATAATCTATAAGGAAATTGAGGCTAAGAGGAATGAAGTAACTTAGTACAGTTCAAGTTTGGAGCCTTGATCCGTCAGGTTCACAGATTATGTTGAATTACGGTCATGCCACTCTATCACTTGAGGTCATTATAACTATGGGTTTTTGGTTTGTTTGTTTGTTTGCTTTTATTTACATTCCAGTTAGTTAACATACGGTGTAATACTAGTTTCAGGAGTACAATTTAGTGAACCACCACTTACATATAACTCTCCGTTTTTTTTTTTCCCAAAGGTTTCATGAGTGGGGTTTCCAGTAGAAAAGTGTATGATGCTATGAGGTAGAAAAGAATGCAACAGGACTGAGGGAAGTGAAGCCATGCCTCACCCACTTGACCCAGACTACAGAGCTGCTTCTGCTTTGATAATTCCCAGATAAGTGTCTATGGAAGTGTTCATCATGGCATTTATGATGCCAGAGCATCGAGTGAAATGCAAGCAAATGATGAATTTGGCATCTCTATTTCAATTTCCTCTTCTGTATTAAAAAAGGGGGGGGTTGGTTGCATGAATAAGGAAGCAACAAACTTTTTTCTGTAAAGGGCTATGCAGTAGAAAAGTATGAGGTTTTGCTGATCATAGTTTCTGTTGTAACTACTCAGGCCTGCAGGTGTGGTGCAAAAGCAGTCACAAGCAATATGCAAACAGACGGGGGCATGGCTTTGTTTTAATAAAACTTTATTTCTAAGAACAGGTAGTAGCTGGCTTCAGCCAGTGCACCATGGCTGGTGGACCCCTGGCTTGCATTTGTGAGACCATGAGAGCTGAGATGGCCTCTGGCGATTCCTAGCTTCTAGTATTCATGTTCTTGTGTCATCCCCTCTTTTTCCTTGTGGACTAGCCTTATTGACTCATTTCTAACACATGGAGTAACGCAGTAGTGATGGATGCCACTTCTGGGCTTAGGTTATAAAGAGACAATAGATTCAATTTTGGGTGCCCTCTTCTCTCTGACTTGCTGACTTTGAGGGAAGCTAGATGCCATATTTACGGCTGTCCTATGGAGAGGCCCATCTGTCAAGAAACAAAAGGAAACTTTTGGCCAACCCAGCAAGGAATTTAAGAGACCCTTAATCTAACAGCTTTCAAGGAATCTACTTCTGCCAACGGCTGCTTGAGTGGGCGTCACAAAACGGATCCTTCTCTGCTGAGCTTTCAGATGAACTACAGCCGTGGCTAACAGCTTGACCAGAACTTCGTGAGTCCCTGGATCCAGAAACGCCAGGCCAAGCTGTGCACAGTTCCCACAACCCACAGAAACCCAGATACTCAACATTTGCTGTTGTGCAATGGGTAACTACTACACCGAGGTCGAGGAGAAACATTACAAGACATTCAGAGGCCTGTGTTCTGGGGCCAGGGTTTGTGTGAATCGAATTTAGGTACTTACCCATCTGGGCAACATTTAAAGGAGTAAAGATGGGGCACCTGGGTGGCTCAGTAGGTGAAGCATCTGCCTTTAGCTCAGGTCATGATCCCAGGGTCCTGGGATCCAGCCTCACATCAGGCTCCCTGCTCAGTGGGGAGTCTGCTTCTCCCTCTGCCTCTGCCTGCAGCTCCCCCTCCTTGTGCTCTCTTTTTCTGTCAAATAGATAAATAAAATATTTTAAAATACAAAAAGAATAAAGGAGTATTCTATATAAAAATCCATATCTCTGGCTTCGTTAGAAAAACTTAGTGATTTTCACCACTAGGGCCCACGTTCCTACATGGGAACGTCAAGGTGTATCCAAAGATCTCTTGCCCCTTCCCATAGAACAAAAGCCCCCTAAGTCAGAGCCCCCACTTGTTATCTTTCACTGGTTTGTCGCACTTCTTCGAAATGCCTGGCTCTGATGAGTCTGATTTGCTTTGAGATCTTTCCTGTAATAGAACAAAGGTGTTCTCTTACCTCCCGGTCATGTCTTGAGTCTGGAACATTGGCCCTTTGTGCGATGCTGGCTGTGTCACACTGCCCGTGCCCACAAGTTCTGCTGCACGGGCCTCAGGGAAGGCCCAGCTCAGAGCCTGGGCATGAGGTACGAGTGGTTTGCCTCTGCGCCTGTCCTTCGCTCTCTCTTCCCTTCCACATCTGGAAGACCTCTCCTCCCTCGCACAGCCTTTAAGGAAAAACACTCTTCGGCACTCAGGTGTGTGCACACACGCACCTACACACAATTGTAGAATTCACTGTCACTCAGAAGCTACATTTCCCTATATTCCCTGTTCTTGACATATAAGAACTAGAACAACTTTTCCTTCTTCCACCTCATGCAAAACCTCACTGCCCCTCTTACCTGATGTCATTTATCTCTGACACAGTCTCTGTGAACCCTTAACTCTCTTCCCTTTCTCCACCCGCCTCCTCCCCTTCACCTTCTTCAATCGCATGGTCTCTATTTTTCTGTGTTGCCTGTGTTTGGATTCTCACTCTTTTGAGTGTCAGGTACTATCAGCTCATTAAAAGCACAGTCTACCTCAGATATGGATAAATGTACCTACTGATTTAAACTACCATGACTCAAAATTTATCTTGTGTGGAGGACATATTTGTGTTTGTGTTATAAGAATTTCACAAGATGCATGTTTTAGGTAACACTCTGGCCTTGGGCCAAATCTTGGCTTTAGCATGCTACTTAGGTACACATAGCTCAGGACACCTGCTCAGACCTGCCTACCCAGCTACGGAACTTGTCCACCGGACGACAATGTATCAAAACTGGGGTGTGAGGAGGGGAGGACTAGCAAAGCTGTTGTCACACGTAGTACATATTTGAGAAAAATAACTTAGATAATGGCCTGGATTTTATTTCTCCTGGAGACTGACATTTGGCGACCACCCTCCCTTGTGTTCATAGCGCTGTGAACATCATGGCTCACTGGACAAGGGAGACCGGGTGGCCAGGACGGGGCGCGCAGCTTTCCAAAGGGCTAGCGTTGCTTCCGTCAGTTCCCTGTAGCTTCTTGGGAACTAGATTTTCTTCTAGAGAATTGGTGCCGAGAGTCACAGTTTGCCTTGTTCAGTTCCCCGACATTTTTTTTTTCTTTTTTAAGATTTTATTTTATTTGGGAGGGATAGGGATCCCTGGGTGGCGCAGCGGTTTGGTGCCTGCCTTTGGCCCAGGGCGCGATCCTGGAGACCCAGGATCAAATCCCACGTCGGGCTCCCGGTGCATGGAGCCTGCTTGTGTCTCTCCTCATTCTCTCTCTCTCTCTCTCTCTCTCTCTCTGACTGTCATAAATAAATAAATAAATAAATAAATAAATAAATAAATTTATTTGGGAGAGATAGAGAGAGAGCGTGAGAAGTAGAAGGAGCAGAGGGAGAGGGAGAAGCAGGATCTCCCTGAGCAGGGAGCCCAAGGAGAGGCTCCATCCCAGGACCCTGGGATCATGACCTGAGCAGAAGGCAGACGTTTAACCAATGGAGTCACCCAGGTGCCCCCTTTACTGACTTAATATTTGCCTCTTCCTTGGACAGATGTGGAAGCTCCAAGTATGAGCCTGCAGACCCACAACATAGCTGCACCCACTTTTTCAACAAACAAAAACGATGCATTTCTTCATACTTTGGAGAGAGTTTCTTACAAAGAGGAAAACCCTTTCCTCTAGTGTGAGAGATCTATTTCTATTTTTCTTTCTACCTGGGCAAGTAAGCAAGACGGCTATTCATTCTCCTCCCCCCCTTATTTTATTTGCTCTTCTTTGAAGTTCCCAATGTTCCCAATGTGCCCTCCTCACCTTCTCCAGGAGGACAGACCCGCTGGTTGGATCCTGATTGGAAGAATCCAGCTTCACTTCCTGGGACAAGAAGGGAGGGGAGATGCTCTTCCCTGATCCCAGGGAGCCTCGAGGTGGAGCAGGGCAGAAACCAAATGCTGCTTTGTTGAACAATGAGCTCCTGACTCGACGGAAGTGAGAAACATCTTAGCAATTAGGGAACTGTGTCCTTCCTCCCTCTGAGTTAAGCCTGCGTCGTCCTGAAACGCTGATGTCTGGCCTGGGGAGCCGTGTGTCTAACAGGGTCAGGAGCTAGAGACTAGCTGTGCGCACTTCCCCTGCAGGCACCCACGAGCCAAGCCTGAGGTGTGCGGCCACCCACACCTTCCTCGGGAAGCCCAGCCCCTCCCAGCTTAACGTTCTCTGGAGCACAAGTGTCCCCAGTCTCCCTGGTTGTCCTGTTGCTGCCCAAGGGGCCCGTCCAGCATGTTCCAGGGAATGGGAAGAGGTGATGGGTGGAAAGAGGGACACCCCTCATTGTAGGTAGGATTGGGGGAGAGCTTGAGGGTGGGCGGGAGGATGACGAGCTGGGTGCAGGAGACTGAAGCTGGAGTGGGAAGAGTACAGTGGAGTAAGACTCCCTTTTTAGTTGTTTATTTTTTTATTATTTTTTAAGATTTTATTTACTTATTCATGAGAGACAGAGAGAAGGAGAGACACAGGCAGAGGGAGAAGCAGGCCCCAAGCCCAATGTGAGACTCGATCCCGGGACCCCAGGGTCACGACTTGAGCCACCCAGGTGCCCCAAGACCTGCTTTTTAAAGGATCTAAGCGAAGGGACTTTCCTTCTGGAATGTGGGGAAAACATTAATTTGCCAGACTTTAATTTTTTGCCTTTCTCTGGTAAAAATTCTAGAAACATGAGTAAAATATCCTATTGGTACCTGAAAGGTCCATTGCAAGAGCCTAAGGGGGTCAGCAGGAGCATCGGTGAAGGGAAGGGCCTGGAGGCCCATGACCCCCCCAGCTGTGTGCTTGTGCTTGTGTGCATCCCCCGGGGCGTGGAGGGGACAGCAGCAGGGACCACGGCCAAGGGGCGCTGCGTGCCGGAGGGACACCCTGGGTCTCAGCCCTGAATGCACAGCAGCGTCACCCAGGACCTTCACAGAAGCAGCGAAGGACCAGCCGGATCCCTGCAGGTGGTGCCTGGGGCGTGATGAGTAACTTGGAAACGCTGCCCGCACGGCACCAGGAACCACTGCTCTAGAGGAAGACGGTTTCCCAAGGGGAGGCCACTCCCCTGGCTTAGGGACACACCTCACCTGTGGCTGCTCACCACCTGCACGCCTCCACGTCCCTCCCTGTGGCGACACAGGGACAACGATCAAGTGAAATGTGCAGCTTTTCCAGTTCCTTCGGTCATGTTCACCTGTGACAGGGACCGCACCCAGCAGGGAGCATCACCCGACACCCAGCTCTGTGAGTCACTGCGACTCCAGCTCCTCCGACTCCAGCTCCTCCGCGAGGCAGGTGTGAACCAGGGCGCTCCGGGCTGCTGCCCGCATGGCCTGTCCGCTGGGCCTCTGCTCCCTCCCTCCGGGGTGTGAAGCTGCATCCCTGGTGCCTCGGGTGGACGCCCTCCTGCCCTTCCTCCCCGTCATCCTGCCTCTGCAGGCTTTGTGCACATGGAGGGAGCTGTGTAGACAGCCAGCTCCTCCTCCAGAGGCAGAGTCAGTCTGGAAGGCTGGTCTGATCACCCTTCAAGATGCCATCGAGTGGGTTCATCCTTAACTTCCTTCATTTCTTCCTCTACCCTTCCTCCCCCTGCTCCCCAGACACACTCACTCTCTCACTGGTCATTTACCATCACTATGTTCCATCTTCTGTGGGATCCAGTTCTGCTGTAGAGGGCCCCATTCCCCCTGGGGACCCAGAGCCGCCACCCCCAGCTCCACCAACTTCGAGTCTGTCCTCTTCCCCATCTGTGCACCTGCTGTACAGACCCACCCCGTGCCCTGAGAGCTGCTTCCCTGCGTCGGCTGCCCTGGCAGGTGGCTCTGGTGCTTGCACCCACCTGCCCCCTCCCACCCACTGTCGGAGCTGCAGAAGGAACACCGGCTTCTGAGGACTCCCAGGGTAACAGAGGGCCACACTCAACCCCTGTGGTTGGCTCAAGCCAGAGTGTCTGCGTCTCTAGTTCCTTTCAGGTTCCCAAGAAGAGAAATGCAAACAAGATTCGAGCGTGTCCTTGGATGCTCAGGGGGAAGGGTGAAGCATGCTCATGCTGAGATGGGACAGGGAGATGGAGATGGTTCAGTGTAAACTCTAGAACTCACTTCCTACCTTGTCCACATTTAGGGATACAGGAGCCTTGGCAGTACCCCAGGCTCCTTTCACATAGTCACCCAATGGGCAGGAGAAGAAAGTATGTCCAGCAGCCCCTTCCTGCCCCTTCGTTAGCTCTGTGGTCTGGGAACTGTCTCTTCACTAGGTAAGTTTTAGTTTCTTCCTCTCTAAAATCTGAGTAATGACACACACCTCAGTGCAGATCGAGGGTGTAACATAAAAGGCCATTCGTAACGGATGGACTTCTACTATCACTGCTATGACCACACTGATCTTCACATCATTATTTATTAAGTTAGGGAGAGCTAGAAGGGACATTGTGGGTGGATACTGCTTCCTCTGTTTTTTCTAGGATGAGGGAATGGGGGTGAGGGGAAAGGCCCATCATCAATCTTTCAGCAACTCACTACGTGACCTCAGGCAAGCATTTGAAACCTCAAAATAATATACCCTAGTCTGCTGGCTCCCTGGAAGATCCCAACAGAACTTCCTCCCTTAGAGCTGTGTGGCTCTGGGTAAGCAGCTTCACGCCTCTGAGTCTTGGGGATCTCCTCTGTTTTATGAGCACACTCACATCTGCTCCCTAGATGAACCAAGAGAGGTGCGTGTGGAGCCCTTAGCATGGGAGGTGGCACCAAGGAAGCATTTAGTAAGCACCAAGTAGCTGCTGTGAGGTGGTGCTGCCGAAGCCAGAGAGCAAGGTTCTTGTCTCATGGAGTCAAAGAATGAATCTTGCAGATAAGGAAAGTGAGCAAAGTGATAGAAGTTCAGCAAGCAAGGGTACAGAGAGAGCTCTCTGGAGTGAGAGGGGTCCCCACAGGGCTGCCACTGGGGGCTTGTAGGGCTGGTCTTTTACTGAAAGCCAAGCAGGGAACTTAATCCTTTTGACACCTCTATTGATATCACCATTGACCAAGGACTAGTGATGACATCTTCAATGGCTTACTTCATTTTAAGGTCTGGTTATGTTCTGTGGACCACAGAAGACCATTATAAATAAGACTCCCCCTCCCCCCCATCACCTAGGGCAGGGTGGTCTGGAGTGCTCCCTTATCTCTGGTTCCCTTACACCTTTGCATTTGGGGGATTTCTGTGGGCCTGATCCCATAGCCCTACTTTCTCCTTACCTAGCTTTGTCTGTCCCTTACTCATTCCTCCCCCTGGAATAGTAACCCTAACTCCTGTTAGGGAATGGGACGATGACCGCTCTGGCTGTTTCCTGCTGAAATGGGGCTGTGGGCTGTGCAACAGAATCTATCCAGGGATTAGTCCAGGGCTTGTGGTTTGGCTCCAGGGGCTCATGATGGACAAAAAATGGTGCATGCATTAGCATTAGCACACGCAAAAAGATAAACATATGTAAGTATGAGGCCCAAAATTATGATTACATCCCTTAGATAAGATCCCCAATTACCAATTCTGTCAAATAGATTAGTGGATATCTTGATCTCATTTAATTGGTCATGAATGTCCCCTATTAATTGGGACACATTGTGGGAATTAACTGTAATGTCAAAACAACACATGCGAGGAAACTCCTCACACCCCAAATGGTGTAGCAATAGTAGACAGTCAATAGTGGCGCGGTTCCTGAGAAGTCCTTCGCTGACTTCACTTAATTCTTGGTTGAGTGTATCTAGTACCTGGGAAGTATCATTCAGAGTCCTGCTCAGCAAGCATACTGTTCTGTTTATTTTATGTTGCAGTCCTATCATAAGTTCTGGAAGTCCCGTAGCAAGTGTTGAGTCTCTTCTTACCAGGAGGGTTGTTAGATGCGTGGCTAATGCCTTTATAGAGGTAGCTTCTAGAATAAATATGACTAAGGGATAAAGCCATCAAGAAGCCCTCTTTGTTTGAGGTCTAGCCTTAACAATATCTTTTTTTTTAAGATTTTATTTATTTATTCATGAGAGACAGAGAGAGAGAGAAAGAGAGAGGCAGAGACATAGGCAGAGGGAAAACCAGGCTCCAAGCAGGGAGCCTGATGTGGGACTCAATCCTGGGTCTCCAGGATCACTCTCTGGGCAAAAGACAGGCACTAAAGCACTGAGCCACAAGGCATCCCTAGTCTTAACAATATCTTAATTATGAGGAATCACTGTCAAGTAGAAGAAAACTTGTCTCAAGACATAAGGGCATCCATCCCGAAGTTCATCATCCAATCCAATAATAAAGAAAGCGGGGCCATCCATTATCTGCCTAAGTCCATAGTGAACTCCATGCAGCGGGGTATACTCTGGCTTTAAAGGAATGATTTTGTCATCCCAGCCACACTGAATTGATCAAGGTTAGTTGAGTCATACAATTATTGAGTAATTAATCCGATTTTCTAGTTGTTTAAATAATCACATGCCCATGGGGTTCTGTTACAATCCCCACAGAATAAGAAGCAAGAAGACTGCCTGTATATGAGCTATTGTGGCAATTTCTCTGCAGTTTACCTCAAGCTGTCTAGCTTAGGCAAACAACAAACATTTGAAGACAATCAGAACTAGAATTTAACATCTGCCAAGATATTTTATTGAAACATAATTTTTCTCTCTAAAATCATCCTCATTGGACAGCCCGTGTGGCTCAGCGGTTTAGCGCTGCCTTCAGCCCAGGTTGTGATCCTGGAGACCCGGGATCGAGTCTCACATCGGGCTCCTTGCATGGAGCCTGCTTCTCCCTCTGCCTCTCTCTCTCTCTCTCTCTCTCTCTCTCTCTCAGTCTGTGTCTCTCATAAATAAATAAATAAATAAAATCTTAAAAAAAAGTTTTAAAAAAATAAATCATCCTCATTTTTAATCAGAGATAGCCAAATAAAGACTATTTCATTTGCAAAACAAGTCCAATTTTAACAAACTTGGCCTATTTACATAAGCTGAGCAAGAATAATGGTTGACCATATAGATCTTTTAGAATCTGCTTTGCTGGAACTTTTTATAAGGGATCTCTACGTTGAACTTTCAGTAGTCTCC